TGCATGGGTGAGGGATTGAATCATCAACGTTTGAGATAGTAATAAATGTCTTGTCTATTAAGTCATGTCGTCTTATCTATTAAGCTATGTTCGGATTGACATGTCTTTCTAAGTTGCTTTAGTGCAATTGTTTTCTTTTTAATAATTGTTGAGAGAAACTTTTTAAGCAATTTTCATTTCATCTTGAACTTTTTGAATCTTTTAGGGATTTGTGTGTTGTAATGGATATGAATCAGTTTTTAGAATGTAGGTTGTACTATTGGATATTGGCTAACTTATTAAAAAAAAAAAGTATGTTAGGTTACCAATTTGTCTTTATGATTTTAGAAACTTTGATTATGGTTTTAAAAGTTTCAATTTGTGTTGTTTTGATTTTGGGTTTTCAGTTTAGCCTATGGAATGTTTAGATTTAAGTCCTCTTTAAATTATGTTTTACCCATTCGAAAAATACATCTAATGTTGATCTAATTTTATTTTATTTTCTTAAATCTTAAAAGGTGCTGAATATACTTATTAGACACAAAAATTAAAAGTTTTTGAACTTATTAGACATAATATTGAAAATTAAGGAATTTTTAGACACTACTAATATTAAAAATTAAGGAATTGTCAGACACGTTTTAAAATTTAGATACTATGAAACACTACTCAATTAAAGGATTAAATTGATTGTTTAACCTTTTTGTTTTAGTTCAACAAGTTTTAAAATTTAGATACTATGAAACACTACTCAATTAAAGGATTAAATTGATTGTTTAACCTTTTTGTTTTAGTTCAACAAATACGAGGTGAAGACCTTCAACTTAAAATGATAATAATATATGTTTTTATCTATTTAACTATGTATAACGCAATTAAATTCCGAGTATAATTTATCGTATTGTGCGATTTAAGGTTACCACCTTAGTTTAGCCTTTCACCTCACACCTGTAGTTCTATCGTCAATTTAGTGCAGAAGCACAACTCACATCAACTCTCCCAACTTGATTGAGTATTAATGCAACACAAGACATACATACGCAAAGTCAATCATATGGGAACCTCTTTTCCAACCTTTATATACAATCTTGTATACAGGATAAATGCTACAACGCATGTCACTCTCTCACAAACACGCCCGAAGGCACTGACCTTAGGATAACAAGACCTTGCTCTAAGCTTGGCTATGCTCACAAGAGGCCTACTTCAACTCCCTAGTTGAAGTATTCCATCAAGACGGATATTGATGGACAATGCTCCCTCACGTAAGGAACTCGACTCTCCCTAGAGGAATAATGCTTCCTCCTAGAGAGCCTACATTCTCTCGTGCCTCTTGGCCACAAATGGACACTAGGAATTGAACTGGATTCGATTTGATTGGATTAGATGTTTGAACATTCCTCAAGCTCTCTAATTTATAGGCAAAGGGGATCTTAAATCTAGACATACTATCCTTACTTGGAGTCCTCTCCAAGGCTTGGCTTACTTCCCACTGAGGTTGGAGAGAATCATGGAGCCACTACTCTACTAAATCTCCCAAAAGATAGTGCTAGCTAGATTTAGGTACTAAATTTAGCCACTAAGTCATGTTCTCCTACATTCTAGAAAAAACTCTCCACTAAGTCCACTATCCACCATTTTTAGGAATGTAGAACTATTATTATGGAACACTCATTCATTCTTGGACCGATTCTCCCGCCTCGTGAAGCCCATAAGAAGTCTACCAATGCTTCAGCGTGGATGTTGCACCCAACATGCCCGAGTGCCTTCGATGTCCATGTCTACGTGGCCCTTGCACACTGTCGCGTGCTGCCTGCGCACCTTGTCACTTACATGCCTCCTGCATGTGCCTACACAGTATGCCCATTGTACATATATATGTGCACAGCACACGCCCACCTATTGTCACCCGTTGTGTCGCCTGCCAGCATACTCGTGTCGGCGTCATGCAGCCATGCACACCTACCTACGTCGACCTACACTTGGCCATGTCACATTGGCCCTATGCTAGCTTGCCACTCGCATCCGTGGTGACACTAGCCACCCAATAGTGTCTATATGCATGCTTCGATCTTGCTTGCCTGCACCTATTGCTGCACTACCTTGTTCTGTAGTTGAGTGCGTTACTGGTCCCACTCTAACATTGGCTCATGTAAGGTCTGATGAGCCATGTCACGTGCTCCATATCGAAATCCTAATCCTCTACTTGAATTGTAAAATTATTTCATTACTTATGAACTTCTGTTTATGCAGCTTCCATGATAGTATTATAGCACTTAGAGTATATATCAAAAGTATAATATTCCTTCTTATAGATGAGATTTTGTTAAATTTAGGAGGCTTTTAGAGGAAGAGAAGATGGACATAATAACAAAATATGATTTCATTCAATTACTTTTTCTTAATCTCGATACAAACCCGAATCATTCTATTTATAATAGAATAATTCCTAATCATAATAGGAATGAGACATCTAAATCAAATGTAATTTTAATTCATAGTAGGAAACCTAAATCATATCAAATTATATCACCCTCCCTCAAATGGGAGTATGCAAGTCATAAATGGCCCACTTGCAAAGAAGAAGATCAAATCGTTTGCAAGTCATAAAAAGATCATGATGACAATCCTGAACTCGTTTTTTTGGCACGAGAAACCACAGACTCGATTTTCTGGCATGAGAGACCACGAATTGATTTTTTGACACGAGACACAAACTGATTTTTGACATGAGAGATCACGAACTCGATTTTCTGGCACGAGAGACCACAAACTCAAACAGTGAACTTGTATCAATTTTCGCAGCTACTTTCAAGGTTAAATCGAAGCTAAACCAAATTTGGATAAACCAAATCAAATAAAAAATGAACCAAGCCAGTTCGCAAAACAAAGCCATTAAAAAATTTAGCACAAAAATGTCTTGCTCGGTGGGGGACTTCAACAGCGACAATTGAAGTTTTTTTTTCAATAGTAGCAATGGCACTCCCCCAACACCCAGAGGCAGACAACCTTCATGATTGGGCGAAGGACTTACAACATATGTGGCGTGATGGGGAAAATCTCCTACTTCTACCGCAGGAATAAGAAGAAAGTAACTGAGAAATTTAAAGAAAACAGTAGAATAAAGAAACGTAAGAATTAACATGGAAAAACTCCAAATCGGAGAAAAAATCACGACCCACAAAAGAAAATTCACTATGTCAAAAATTATTACAATCACACAAATTTCTCTCCCGACCCAAATTATACAATCTTTCAAAGTAAATATCGCTTAGTTAACTAGAGCTTGTATAACAAGCTTAAAGTATTTCAATTGAAATGATTAAACTCAAGCCCATGAGCTCTTTTTATAATAGTTGGAGTACACCTCCTCCTTATACATTTCCGATGTGGGACAACTTCTACTACTTGGTGAGCACACTCTCTCCTTGTATCTTTCCGATGTGGGATAATTTCATTTATAATATTTTACTAAAACCATATAAACTCCACCTTGGCAAGATATTGAAGAATTCACAACTTCTATTGCACTCATTGTCTTCATCAACAATCATAATTCTCAATTCAGATAACTATAACCTACTCCACCATAAAAGTAGACCACTTGGAATGTCGCATTCTAAGATTCCTTGTCACATGTCGATAATAATAGTTGCAGGTTATTTTACCAAGGAAATTACTTTTTGGGCCAACTAGTTTTTTTCTTCTTTGCTAAGTATCTACTGCCACTATTATTATATACATGATTTAAGTTTATTTTTTAGTCTTCACTCGAGAGATCAAAAAGGGAGAAGCAAAAACTTGTGAGGAAGGTGCACTTCCTCAATCTTGGCAGAGAAGAAGAAGAAAAAGTTCTTTAGGTTGTGGAACGTTGCCGGCAATTCGTTCTCGCAATTATTGTGGGGTTTTTAATTCTGTATTCCTGAGTAGCTATTGTCGTAGTGCTTAGAAGCTAGGTGACTATTGTTGTAGCATCTAAAGTGCGTTAGAGCGAAGTGAGGCCCATTGTAATCTTCTCATTATAGTGGAACCTGCATATTGCATAAGACTGGACATATCTTGTATTTCCTTTATTGCATTGATAGAACTGTGACTTGCTCATCACTGTGAAAGGGGAAAAATACTAGTTAGATTTTGGGTAATTGTGGGGTCAAAACAAGTTTATTGAGCCAAGAAAAAAAAAAACCTAAAAGCCCAAACCTAATGTTTTTTTTATTCACTAAGTTGCCGCACAAAAAAAATATGTATTGTGTGTTTTAGTTGTTTTTCTGCTGGCCGAGAGAAGTTGCAAAACAAAAAAAAAATTGTGGCAGCAGTGAAGTTCTTTGGCAGAAAGAAAAAAAAGAACGTTAGCTTGTAGTGGACCAGTTATTAGAGTAGGTAGTGGACAGTGCAGCTTCGGTGCATGTATCTTCATACAAGAATTGGTTCACGTCCTTTACTGTAGAAAATCATGGTGCGGTGAGGATGAGAAATGGGAGATGCTCCAAGATCAGAGGATTTGGGGATGTAATCTAAGGACTGACAGTGGGACCGAGTTAGTTTTGCATGGTGTCAGGTATGTATCCAGTTTCAGGATGAATTTGATATCAGTGAGAAAGTTGGATGACGAAGGCAACATAAGTAAGTTTGYAGAGCACAGATGGAAACTCGAGAGGGGATCCGAGGTATTGATTGTTGGCCACAGAAAAGCTTCAGTGTATGTGTTGAGCTTTAGCGTTGCTCGAGGATCAGAGAGACAAGTTATGCACAGGGCTGCAGATAGTTCAGGGGGAGACTTGAAAGAACTAGCAGCATTGACAGTTAAGACAGATCAAAATAATCTGTCATCAGTTCAAGTACAACAGTTGGGAAGTAGAGGAAAGGGAAAGGGGAACAACTCAATGAGGTGTTCAATAGACTGTCAGTTTTGAGCACCAGTTGTTAGATGGATTAGCGAGCCGATGACGTCGCGTAGGCGAAAGGGTGCATTGAGAAAGACTACAGTTGGTGTTGAGATCGATGTTGGTGTCTCTAGGGTGGCAACGAACTTGGGTGGGAGTGCCAAGTCATCAGATGGAAAATCTTTCTTCAGGAGTCGTTGGGTGTGAGTGAAGAAGGAAGCGTCAGAGATTACTTAGTTCGAGTGGGAGCACGTGGTTGTGTCTCTAACGTCTGTGAGACAAAATCACGTAAGATTGCTTAGTCTCAGAGCAATCACAGATGGAGCCTTGGCTGGTGCTAAGAAGAAGTTAGAAGCTGTCAGTGCAGTGAGAGTTGAGCTTTGGTTGGTGCCAAGAGGATGTTGATGAGTTAGAATCTATTGGTGCAGTCAAAATTAAGTCATGAGGGACACTGTTGTTGCAGCGGGAGGTGAGATTGTTGTTTTGTCTCCAAGTGGAAGATTGTTAGGTAATTGTGGAGTCAAAACAAGTTTATTGGGCCAAGAAAAAAACCTAAAAGCCCAAACCTAATATTTTTTTTATTCACTAAATTGCCACACACATAAAATATATATTGTGTATTTTAGTTGTTTTTCTACTGGTCGAAAGAAGTTGCAAAACAAAAAATTGTGGTGGCAATGAAGCTCTTTGGCAGAAAGAAAAAGAAGAACGTTAACTTGTAGAGTATTGTCGGCAACTCGTTCTCTTGAGGTGAGTGAGGTTTTTTATTCTGTATTCCTAAGTAGCTATTGTCGTAGTGCTTAGAAACTAGGTGGCCATTGTTGTGGCATCTAGATGGAGGTTTGTAGAGCATTTGTGAGACTCATTGTATTTATCCTAATATCATAGTAGATCCTGTTGTCGCATAAGACTGGACATAGCTCATAGTTGGGGTGAACCACTACAAATTTGCTTGTGTCGTTTATGTGTTTTCCCTATTTTTCTTATTATTGTGTGTGACTTAGTTTTCACTGATGAACTGTGGAAGGGAAAAAGATTATTGGTAAGTAAATTTCCCAACATTAGATCTTGTTGGATTGCTCTTGCTTGAGAACTATAGATATTTTATTATTATCGCACATATTTTTTCCCAACAACCGGTATCAGAGCATTTGGTTTAGAGTCATGGGATTTGGTGAGCAGTCAAGTTTTGAAGAATTATGAGGTTCGATGGAGCCAACTTTGGGTATTAGAAAATGCAAATTAAGGATTACTTAATCTGCAAAAAGGTGCCCAAAGCTTTGAAGGAATGGCCAACTGGAATGAAGCTTGAAGATTGGGAAGATATGGATGAATAGGTAGTTGCAATTATTAGATTGTGTCTATCAATAAATGTAGCAAGTCTCGTGGCAAATGAGATAACGACGATAGGATTGATGAATGCACTAACAAATAGGTATGAAACATCGTCTGTCAATAATAAGGTATATCTTGTTAGAAGATATTTTAATATTCGTATGGATGAGAATGCTTCTATGAATTTCCATATAAATGAAGTCACTAATTTAATCAATCAGTTAGCTTTTCTGAAGATTACGTTTAGTGATGAGGTGAATGTTATTTTATTATTAACTTATTTGCCTGAAAGTTGGGAAACGATGAAGATGGCTATGTTTGATTCGTTAGGAGATAAGAGTTTGAAATTTACAGAAATTTATGATGTTGAAATTGCTGAGGAAATTCGTAAGAAAGAGAGTAGAAAAGAATCCACTTCTGGTTCTGCATCTAGCTAAGAATTGGCTGTTCATAAAGGTAAAGAAAAGATTTAGTATGATGATGGATAAAATAGAAATAGCAGGAGAAATGAGAATGGTGAAATCGAATGTTATTACTACCATAAGAAGAGCCACTGTAGAAAATTGAATGAGGATTTGAATAAGCTAGATGCAAATGCAAACGTGGTTGTGCATGATGCTCTTGTTTCTACTGAGAGTAACACAACATCGGTAGACCAGTCATCAGAATGGGTAGTAGGTAATGTAGCTTCAGTACAAATAGCTTCAGATAGGAGATTGTTCACATCTTTCACTGCAGGCAACTATGACATGGTGAAGATGGGAAATGGTAGGCTCTCTAAGACCAGAGGAATTGGAGATATTAGTCTGAAGACCGATAATTGGACTGAGTTGATTCTGCATAATGTTAGGTACATACCCAAAATCAGAATGAATTTAATATCTGCAGGGAACCTGGATGACAATGGTTACGGAAGTGAGTTTGCTGGAAACATGTGGAAACTCACTAGAGGATCCGAGTTGGTGGTTACTGGCCGTAGTACATCTACAGTGTACACAACAAAATTTGGTGTTGCCAAAGGATCAAATAGACAAATGATGCACAGAGCTGCAGATGCTTTAGAAGAAGACAGGACAAAACCAGCAACAATGACAACTAGGATAGATCTATCAATTCAGGTTCAACAATTGGGAGGTCAGAGAAACAAGAAGAATTCAGTTGGTTGTTAGGTGATAGCCCTAGTTGTCAGACGGTTTAGCGAATTGATAAAGTCGCATAGACGAAATGATGCATCAAAGAGCAAGACTGTAGTTGGTGCTGAGGTCGAGGTTGAAGTCTCTAGATTGGTAACAGACTTGAGTGGGAGTGTCAAGTCATCGAAGAATAATTCTTTCTTTGGAAGTCGTTGGTCGCGATCAAAGAAGGAAGCATCAGGAGACACCACTTAGTTCGAGTGGGAGTACGTGGCTGTGTCTTTTACGTCTGAGAGATAATACCACGTAGGTTGTCCAGTCTCAAGGCAAGCACAGATGGAACCTTGGTTGTTTGTCAAGATGATTAGATGTTATTGTTGCAGTTGGAGTAGAGCCTTGGTTGTTTACCAAGAAGATTGACACTGTTGCTGTAGTGGGGGCATATTTTGTCTTTAAGTGGGAGATTGTTGGAAAAGTGGATACAAAAAAAAGATAATAGTAATAAATGTCACATGTTATTTTACCAAGGAAATCACTTTTTGGGCCAACTTGTTTTTTCCTTCTTTGTTAACTATCTACTGCCATTATTATTATATACATGAATTAAGTTCATTTTTTAGTCTGGAGGTGCACTTGGTCAATCTTAGTAGAGAAGATGAAGAAAAGAGTTATTTGGGTTGTAGAGCGTTGCTTGCAATCCGTTCTCACGATTCTTGTGAGTTTTTTCATATGTATTAAAAAGTAGCTATGTCGTAGTGCTTAGAAGCTAGGCGGCTATTATTATAGCATCTAGAGAGCGTGAAAGTGAAGTGAGGTCCATTGTAATTTTCTCATTATAGTGGAACCTGCATATTGCAGAAGACTGGATGTAGCTCTGAGCTTGGAGTGAACCAATATATTTTCTAGTGTTTGCTTTTCTATTCATATCTCGTATTTTCTTTATTGCATTGATAGAACTGTGACTTGCTCATAACTGTGGAATGGGAAAAATTTTAGTTAAATCGTGTTGGATTGCTCTTGCTTAAGAATTAGAGATATTTTATTATTACTGTATATTTTTTCCCAACAAAATCTTGCTGGAATTTATGGTGCAACTTCCACCTACTTGTCTCACCTGAAAATTCTTCAGTCATCGACATAACTTCCACCACACATACCCTGTATAACCGTCAAGCCAATGTCCATGTGTAGACCTATGGAACTGCTAACATCTCATCCTTTATAATGGTAAAACGGACATACCATAAGGATAATTTTTATATTTCTTAAAAGGAATTGATCATCCTCTCCCCTGATGAGAGAAAAACACTTTTAGCATTTGGCCTAGAGCCATTTGATGAACCGGCTCTGTTAAGACAATCTTTCTTTATGTGCCTAGTTTGTCTGCATCCCTAGCAACAAACTTTATTTTGTACGAAGTCTTTCTTCATCTTCAAATTGTTAACTATCAGTGCTGAATCTTAATGTGAAGTATGCCCTTCACTCTTCAAACTTCTTTCCTCTGACAACAGTTTACTAGTAGCTTCAGTCTAATTCAAATTATCATTCTTATACATCAAGATCGATTTCATGTGTTCACAAGAAAGTGGAAGTGACAAGATGAGCCTAAGTGTCTTATCTTCGTCATCTATCTTCACTTTGATCACCTCCAGCTCAAAGATTATGCTATCGAGATTACTCGGATGATCTAAAATTTTCGTATCTTCCTCCATTCGCAGAGTGTGAAACTACTCTTTCAGGTACAGTCGATTTGAGATGCATTTTGCGTGATATAACGTTTCGAGCTGCTCCCAAAGTTCTTTGGCTGTCGAAATTTCATGCACATTCACAAGAATATTCTTAGCCAAACCTGTTTGTATCGCGCTTGCAGCTCTCAAATTTGTTTCCTTCCAATCGTCATCACTCATGCTGGACTTCTTTCAACCTCTGTCGGAGCCATCGCTGGACTCCATTGGACCACCATCACCACTTAGCTTTTCAGAAGCATCTTCACTTGGTCTTCCCTTTAACGCCTTGTGTAACCCAGACTGTATCATCACATCCTTGACTTGCACTTGCCACAAGCCGAAGTTGATCATTTCGTCAAATTTCTCCACGTCAATCTTCACTGGACTCATAAGGAATGATATATCTGCTTCACACTCCTGACGAATCTGCAAATAGTGAACAACTCACACTATTCACAGAACTGTAGCTTGTTTCAAGAAATATTTTTTGATGTGGAAGTTCAGACAATACTGCAACCACAAAGCATACTCAGAAATTCTAGAAACTACAACCTAAAGCTCTGATACCACTTGATGGGAAAAAATCTCCTACTTCTACTGCAGAAATAAGTAGAAAGTAATTGAGAGATTTAAAGAAAGCAATCAAATAAATAAACACAAGAATTAACGTGGAAAAACTCAAAATCGGAGAAAAAACCACAGCCCATAAGAGAAAATTCACTATGTGAAAAATTATTACAATCACACAGATTTCTCTCCCCAACCCCAATGATACAAAACACTTTTTCAAAGCAAATATTACTTAGTTAACTAGAACTGGTATACCAAGCTTAAAGTATTTCAATTGAGATGATTAAAACTCAAGCCCCTGAACTTCTTTTATAGTAGTTGAAACACACCTCTTCTTTGTTCCTTTCTGATGTGGGATAACTAATGAGCTGTGAATCCCAAGCAGAAATCGTAGAATGTGTTCTTCGAATTTTCCTTTGAAATTTGAAACATAGAAAACAAAACAAAACCAGGCAAGAATGGGGTTTTGACCTTTGAAAACATTCTTCAAATAAAACCTAAAGAACACCTCCAATGGATCTTCCTTACTATTACTTTGACGAGAATCCGATTGGTGGAAACTGTGAGGGATGGAGAACTAGAGAGAGATTTAGAGAGATTGTTATTTTCACTATTTTTCCTTTTGCAGGAAGAACGGAACCTGTACAAAACCTTTTTGCACATCTTATGAAGGGGAGGTGACGTGGGGACTTACCCCACGTCACAACAACTGCTCACTCCCCGACTAAATGTAGAGGAGTTAATAATTAATATATTAATTTTTAATAAATAATATAATTAATTAAATTAAATTATTAATCTAATTAATAATTATTTATCTAATTAATCATTAATTAATTAAATGAATAAATAACAATTAATTATGTAGCCTTACATATTTAATTAAAACTATATATTTGAATCATATTCAAATGCATCTCTCTTGCATAACCTATAGTTTTAACATGAATTCAATTCATATTAGTTATTATTTGAATCTTATTCAAATATTTCTCTCATAATATATAGTATTAATTTCGAATCTTTATCCAAAATTAATATTGTATCAATATAGATTATAAATCTTCCCTATTTTTAACATTTCAAATTCTTTCAAAACTTGATCCTTGTTTTACCCATTGGGAACTAGCAAGGAGACCTAATGGACCTATAGATTATAAGCTCCAACGATACGAGATTAATTGATTAAACTCATTAACCATATTAATCAACATTCGTTAACTATGAGTCGTTCCACTAACGATTCACAACTGCACTCTTCTCACTATAAAATATTTCGTGTTCATGGAAATTGACCATTAACGGTAGGTCAACCTTTCACGAGTGTTCATAACTTCTACTGGGTCAAATAACCATTTTATCCATGAGTTACATCTTGCACCTTAAGTATCACTGCTCCTTTAATGAACGACCTATTTATGGTCCGACCATTAAACAGAAGTACCTCTCGAGCTAGTAAGAGGATGGGGCATGTTGTTCAAGTCCCCGAGTTAGCATGTAAGGGAATACTCATCTACTTACCTTAAAGGTTGGAAATGAGTGAATTTCATAGTGCGTAGTTATGTCTCAGCTCCACACTCAGTCTTGCTACCAAAATGGTAAGATTATTGAGTCGGCAACTCAGGCCACTCTCACCTATACAAATCAAAAGACGATCCCTTATAGACTGCGGTCCGGTCTTACACAAACTCATTGTATAGGATACCCCCACTCGCATGTCTCCACATAAACGACCTGGATAGTAACTATTACAAAGCGGGTCGTATCCATAATGTTATCAGGATAAAGTATCCAACCTTTTTCATGTACTATATACCATTTAGGTTATTACTGAAACATTATCCATTTATATATCGAATATATGCTATATATTAATTATATACTATATATCAAATATATACACTATATATTAAATATATTGTATATCAAATATATACTGTTCCAGTTACATTAAATAACTTTGGATCTTAGTTTATTGGAATATGAGTAATGCAAAGAAATAACTTTTATTGAATAAATAAATTGTTTATTAATTACAAATACATGAGCTATGGGGCAAAGAACCCAACAACAACTTCTACTACTTTGTGAGCACACTCTCTCCTTGTATCTTTCTTATGTGGGACAAACTTTAATTCTAATATTTTGCTAAAACCCAATATCGCGAAAAACGAAATTCTGAACCACGGTGACTCACGAGCAGTGGGAAAAGAAAACTACGTGAGTCTGGTGTACAAGCATCTCTATATCCACGAACAATTGCAACATCTGAAACAATGTAGTAGCTACGACCTGCTTTTAATTGCAACAACAGTCTCCAGGATTGATTTCAGGTGACAGACGTTAGCAAAATCGTCGTGCTAAACAAAACCACGTATTAGAGTTAAAAATCTGTAATGGCCCTAAGAAAATACCTAGAATTTTGATACCTTGTTAAATTTAGGAAGCTTTTAGGGAGCAGAGAAGATAAACATTGTTTGGGGAAGGGAATACCCTGGACACGTGGAGGACCCCTATTGGTTCTCCAAGATGGCTCATGAGTCATGCCCAGCACGGATAGCCGAGATGGCCGCCACTAACGTCGACAAATGCTAAGTATGAGGGCCAAGGTGAACCTGGCCCAGGTCTGACCTACCGGGGAGCTTGGTAGGGGCCGATGTGCGCAATTGTCTGCGGCGTGATTATCGGGCGTAACCGTCGGTCCCGAGATTACCGGGTGTAACCGACGGTCCCGAGATTACCAAATGTAACCGTCGCGAGATTAGCGGGACTACCACCCATAAATAGAGGGCCTCACTCCCCGATCAGGTATGATGATGATTTCTGGCCTCGAACTAAACTGGGAATCCGACCTATACTGACTTGATCGTCGGAGTGCTCACCTTTTTGTGCAGGTCCGCCCAAGTGTTCAGGTCAGTCCGGAGGCCGAGTTCGAGCTACAATCTGGAACACACTGTTGTGCATATCCTTGCATAAACATTTGGCGCCGTCTG